TATAGTAGTCTACGTACTAACTAACTAACTTTACCGTACTAGTAGTTTTAGTTAGTCTATCTATATACTATATTAGTTACTACTATATACTTTACTATATATATATATATATATATATATATATATATATATATATAAAGTATAAAATGAGACCATTTATCTTTTATACAAGGTGGTCACATTAATCTTGACTATTGGATGTGAAATTAGGTGGCAATTATTCCGTTGACCAAACTCAAATTTCAAAATAAATTTTCTCAAACTCTGTGATACATCCAAGCTATCAATTTCACATCAAATGATTGTAAAGAATTGTAACCACCTTGTATCAAAGGTAAATGGTCTCATTGTATACAATCTCATATACATATATAGTGATCTAAAGCAATAGTTGTATCATAGTATAATGTAACCACACGTCTAGAAAAGCATGTTTGTGATATTTGTATGATCCAAAATTTTGCATACACACTCTCTTCATCTAAAAATCAATCTAAAAATAATAATAATAATTTACACCCTATATACGGTGAAAATGAGTCACCTCCAACAATGAATCTCGACCTTCCATTTGATGAATTTCAAGATCTAGACCTTTCTGAATTCAAAATCATTTTTTTTTTTAATATTGTTAATCTAATGATAATAAAGTTATTTAAAAAAAAATTGAAAAGGAAAAAAAAAAATCTAATGCCTAGATTTAATCATCTCACCAAAATAGACAGCCTACATTAATTGGGCTAAAAAATGCTTTCGAGGATACATTTTCAATTTTTTTTTTATTTATAATTGTTCACTAGAATGAAAAGAGTGTATATTTTAAAATTTGGATCAAACAAATAGCCTAACATGGTTTTTAAAGATTGTTTTATTAAGTAGATACTCATATTATAGAAATATCTATCATACGGCTCCTAATTACAAAAAATGTCTTTACAAAAAAAATTAATTGCAGAACAAAGATATATAAGTGTTAAAAAAATTGATTACATTAAGTAAAGACTCATGAATACCCTAACTTAACCCTATATAGATGTACATTGTATGGTGGTCCCGATAGCATCATTCTATTGAGATTCCGTGTCTCTTTTTCTTTGTCTACTTATAGTAGTCCAATTTCCACCTTCAGTAGTGCCTCTCTCTCTCATTTTGCATATAGAATTTTTCAAACACAATATTTTCCAGCCTGATCATCCAGTTTCCGAGGAATATCTAACTTCTGGTTGTCAAATAAGCACTCAATATCTCTATCTACATTTTATTTTTTCTTAAAAAAAATCTCTCTCTCTCTCCATCTTCACTAGAACTTTATTGAAGGTTCGTCACACTTCTAACTCTCCTATGTCCATAAAGTGGTCCATTATTTAAAATATAGTGGTCGATCATTTAAAAGATGTTGATTTGGTGTGTCTCTAGGAGGATGTATTTGGAATTTAGTTAGAATGACATCTCGTAGGTATGAAGCAGGATGGGCATGATGAATCCACATTCTCGATAGGAATGCATGAGAGGCATAGAAGGTCGCGCACAACATTCGTACCGTGTTTGCCTTTGGTTTAACTTGCTACTAATAAGTTGGTTGATTAAATAAAATAAAACATAGGGGGAGGAAAGGCCATCTATTTATTGTGCCTTCATTTTTTTGTTCCACTCGATTATGCCGCTCAGGGTGGATGCCATAAAAAGAGAGAGAGAGAGAAAGTAGCTGTGATAGCCCTCAGAGAGAGACCTGTCCATATCACGAAATGCCTGCCCTAGAGAGAGAGAGAGAGAGAGAGAGAGAGTGTGTCGTTATTACCGAAATGTAGGTCTTAGTGGCCAAATGAACGAGGTCTGGCGTCTGGTACAAAACGTAAGCGTAGGTACCTTTAAGAAGCTGTAGAGGCCAACTGTGAGAGAGAGAGAGAGAGTAGTACGTTCGTTAGTAGTTATCGTCGTAGTACGTCGACGGAGGTACTACCGAGTCGTGTACGTCGTACCTTTAACGTTTAACGTCGACTAC